GTTGAGTTGCAAGTTAAGTCTACGTGGTCTCAACGTATTCGGGATTTGCAACCAAATGACAAAAAATTGGAAGAAAACTTTCATCTAGTGCAAGATGATGTTAGGGGTGACTTCTCATTGAAATCTGAAGATGTTTTGTGCTTTCGAGGTAGGTTGTGTGTGTCAATGGATGAGGATCTGTAGGTGAGATACTCGTGGAGGCACATAGTGAACCAGATGCGATGCATCCGGGTAATACGAAGATGTTTCGAGACTTGCGTGAGTTGTTTTGATGGCCTGGGTTGAAGAGAGCTATTGTTGAGTTTGTCGGATGATATTTGGTTTATCAGCGTGTTAAAGCCGAGCATTAATTTCCTTCAGGTTGTTGCAACAAATTAGTATTCCTGAGTGGAAATGGGAATAAATTATGATGGATTTTATGATGGGTTTATCGTTGACACCGTTGAAGAAGGATTCGATTTGGGTGATAGTTGATTAGTTTACTAAAAGTGTGAATTTTTTGTTGGTTCATACTACATGTTCGTTATAGAGGTTAGTTGAGTTATTCATAGCTGAGATAATGTGGTTGCATGGAGTTCCTTTGTCGATCATTTCAGATCGTGATCACCGGTTTACGTCGAGGTTTTGGCGAAGTTTGCATAAAGCTTTGGGTTCAAAGTTTAGTTTGAGTATATCTTTTCATCCGGACAGATGGCAATTGAGCGTGTGATACAGGTTTTGGAGGATATGCTTCAGGTGTGCGTAATTGATTTTATTGGTTCTTGGGAGCGTTATTTGTTGTTTGTAGAGTTTTTTTACAATAACAGTTTCCAAGCTAGTATTAAGATGGCTCTGTTTGAGGTGTTATACGGGCGTAAGTGTCTTACTCCTTCGTGTTGGACTGAGTTGAGTGAGAAACGTGTTTTTGGTCTGGAATTGATTCAAGAGACTGATGATAAAGTTAATTTGATTAAGTATCGGTTGGAGGATGCTTTTGATTGACAAAAGTCGTATGCCAATTTGAAACGTTGAGAGATTGAGTACATTATGGGTGACTTGGGGTTTCTTAAGGTTTCGCCTTGGAATAAGGTGTTACGTTTTGGGTGTAAGGGTAAGCTTAGTCCAAGTTTTATAGGGCTATTTGAGGTGTTAGAGCGTGTTGGGCCAGTTGCGTATCGTTTGAGATGAGCTCAAGCATATTCATGATGTGTTTCATGTGTCGATATTGCGTAAATATAGGTCAGATCATTCTCATTTTGTTTCACTTAATAAGGTTGAGGTGCGCAAGGATCTTTCTTACGAGGAAGAACCTGTTAAGATTTTGTCCAGGGATGTGAAAGTTTTTCGGAACAAGGTCGTTCCGTTGGTAAAGGTGTTGTATCATAACCATAATACTTAGGAGGCAACTTAGGAGACGGAAGAGTCAATGAGAGCTCAATTTCTGCAGTTGTTTAGATAAGGTAATTTCGGGGATGAAATTACTTTTAGGGGGAGAGAGTTGTAACATCATAGAGTTGGGTCTGGTGGTTAGGGTTAGTTTCGGGTCGTTTTCCGGGTTTCTGATAAAAAGAAAGAAAATTTTCTAAAATTCATATTTAAGTTTTAAAAATATTTTGGAAAAGTTTCAAGTGATTTTATATGATTAATTTTAATTATAGAAGTTTAATTAAATAATTTGGTGACTGAATTATAAGAATTGGAAATTATAATTCGATGATCATTTTGTAAATTTTTACAATGTCCAAATTTTATGAAGCAATTACACCAAGACATATGTTTAGAGTTTTCCTTTTAAATTAAAATGTTTTAATTTTCCCTTTTTACTATTTTTCCATCTAGATTCATTTTAATCTAAATTACATTTGCTTGTTTTCATTCACGTGCTTTTCATTTCCTCAATATTTTATATTTTAGTAACTTCTCTTAACTTCCTCTATTTTCACTTGTTTTCTCCCAAGCAAGCTGATCAATTCTTTTTCTTTTTCTTCTTGATTCTAGATTTACTCATCTCAATCTTGATTTATTTCTCAAGTTTCTCATCTTTTATATTCTTGTTTTTAAAGCTTGATCATAATGGAATTCCATTGGTGATCTCAATTTCAATATATTTCACAAGGTAAGGATCTTTTCCTTGGTTTTATTTCAAGCTTCAGGGCAAGTGTTAATGATTCTATTGAATTGTTGATTTAATTGAAAGGATTTCTAGGATTTCAATTCATTTTCGGAGCTAATTAATGTGTTGATTTCTTTAATTGGTTTTGAGGTTTTCTTAATCAAATTAAGTTGTTTTTGGAGTGATTATAATCATATTAAATCAATTTTTTGATTTCAAATGATTTGGATATTGATTTCTTGAAAACAATGTCGATTTTTGGTATTTTTGGGAATTCGAGAATTAGGTTTGTAGATGTTAATTTTGCGATTCTAGTTGAGTTAGATGTTGGTTATAGTGTTGTTTATCAGCTTTTAGTACGGAGATTCGTGTTTTAGTTTAAAGCTTCTGGAGTGATGTTTCGGTAAGGTTTTAGGTGTTTTCGATGTTTAAGCTCTATTTTACAAATAGAGGTTCTGCTTTGTTCTAGATTAAATTTTGATGTGTTAATTTGTTTTGCAAGGTTCTTATAGTGTTTTTAGTTGATGAAACTTGGTGCTTTGAGTTTGGTGAACGTTGAGGTAGTGTTTGGAAGCGTTTTCTTTTTTCAGAGAGCAAGGTGAGTGGCTCTTATTCGTAGGAAATGAACATGATTCAAAGTTGAGGTTTGTGTAGTGTTGCATTTTTAATTCTGATATATTGTGTTATTTTGTTAATTGTGATGATGAAATATGAATTATGTTGATTTACATATGATGCCACTTGTGTTGGAAATGAGAATGTGATGTGTTCTAAATGATGCATAGGATTTTGGAAACGGTTTGTGAAAAATCTATATATATTTTGAATGTGAATTGGATGAACTGAACTTTCTCACTGTCCAAATATGTGGGTTGATCATGACAACCATCCGCAAGTTTGTTTCAAAATGTATTTGAATAAATATGTGAAAACTATGCATCATTGACAACCGCTTTTGGTGAATTGGATTAACTGACTATTTTTCTTAATAGGTCCTTTGGATATGAAATTCGTCCTAGGAAAGACTAATTTGTGTGTTTTGTATTTGTGTGTGATTCAGAATTATGCGGGGTGCGTTGAGTTTTGCTCTGAGAAGATACGGGTAAGGTTGGGCGTCTGTTTAGTCCATAATTTGTGGTTTTGGACCTATGTGAATCCGTAAGCAAAATGGGAGTTTTATGGAGTCCGTTTATCCAATGAGTGAGTTGTGTTTTGAACAAAAGTTATTGATCTTAAAATAGAAAATGTGTGTGATTGTGTGATTTGCCGAGGAAGGTAATAGTGCATATGTGATTGTGATTGCCTTTGAACTATATGGTCCTTGATGTTTGTTTAATTAGGAAATCAAGTGATTTGGAAAACATTAGTTGATCATTCAAGCATTAGATGTTGAAATATATGTGTAGAGTAAAGAACAAGTTACGTATTAACATATAGGATTGACCTTTAGCTTGGTTATGTGCATTGCTTTGAATGTTAGTCGTTCACTGGGCTTTATAAGCTCACACTCGTTAATATTGTTTAGAGGATTAAAGTCGAGTTTGGAGGTGAGGGGCTTGGCATCGGTGTGATCAAGCAAGGCTAAGGAATAAAGCTATACTTATGTGGTTTTCGGAAATTTTGTGTGGCAATTTGGGAATATTTGGGATTTAGACCTATTATTCACTTTGTTGGACTTATAATGCTAGATTTTGGTTTGTAATAAGTGGATTTACGATTGGGATTTGATGTTGGTTTGATTCATTGAATTTGGATTTATAAGTAGGAACTTGTTGCTTGAAGTATGAGATTACTCAAATATGTTTTAGACCCTAAAAAAGTGTTTGGAGTGTTTCATTAAGTGTAACTTGGTAAACTAAACGTGTTAGACTCTTAGGTTGCATGAAACAACCTTAAATGCCAAAAATGAGTAGGTGACTTGTGGTTGAAATGAACTTTTATGCAATTGTTGACTTTTGGTGTCAAATCCTTGATTAATATGTTTACTTGTGTCATAAAGCATGTTATACAATTATTTTGACATGTATGAAGTGGTTGAATAGTATCCAACATGTTCCTAGTCCATGATTACTTTTATGGGGTGATTAGTTGACCAAATATGCATGTTCTTAATAAAACTGTAGTTTTTCAAAAAAATGATCAATCACTTGAGAAAGGATCGATCCCAAAGTTTATGATTTGCAAAGAATCAAATCCCTTTTCAAAAGGATCGATCTCTAGTTAAAAAGGGTCGATCCCTTTCAAGAAAGTATCAATCCCTTTATTGTTTTGCTCGATGGAAAAAGGTGTAATTGCATTCATTAAAAGTCTGAAATGTTCTTAAATTCTAATTTGACCCCTGAATGATTATGGGAGTTCAATTTAACCTAGAAATTGATTTGTTTAATTACTTAAACTCTTAATTTGGAAATTTGATGAGATTTAAGTGATCACTTATTTAACACACTTAATTACATAATGAAACCCTCAATTGCATGTTATTGTTTGGTATATAAGTTTTTCATGTTTACGTTTAGGTCCCTAATCTTGTATGATTAATTGAGTGTTTGTCTGATGTCCGACTAGTATGAAATTTTACGTGATGGTTCCTTATAACAATATTTAACATGTGGTAACCTTAATTGGGTAATTTGACTTGTTGATTTATTATACATTGTGAAATGATCGAAATACCCTTAAATGTTTAAATGTAATGATTACATTTTTAATTGAGATTCAATTGCATGTTAGTTACATTGAATATTGTGTGTGAAATATAATAATAGATTTTAATTTGTTTGCTTCGTAAAATGTGCGTAAAGTGGATCATGATCCGTCCAACACGATTGGAACCTAATGTACGCTCAAGTATCCGGCTCAGACTCTTGGATCGTGTATGGGGTGTTACATTTGTCCGTCGTCTTCAAAATTACCTGGATAACTCAAAATCCAAGTGTATGTGATGATCGCGTAACCAATCTGTACCCAGAATGACGTCAAAACCATGGAACGATAACTCCATCAAATCGACCGGAAAAACCTCGCCTTGAACAACCAAATGACACATATGGTTAACACAATCCACAAATGCTCTCTCGCCTAAAGCTCCAGTTACAACCAAACCCACACTCTTAACACAAACAGGAACACTCAACCGATTAGCCAAACTTCCAAGGATATAAGAGTGTGAAGAACTAGAATCTATCAAGGCAAGCAAAAGAAAAGACTCCAGTAGAAAAGTACCTATGATAACGTCCGTCGGAACACGATCCTGAGGCTCACGAATCACGTACACTCTAGCAGGTCCACCAGTCTTAGCTGGCACGACCACAGCCTCTACCATGAGCCTGACCCATCAAACCACTCGTACCAACTTGACCACCTCCTTGGCAGGAACATGTTTACCATCTTTAGGCTCAGCTCTCCTCGGAAATCTCGCAACCGATGACCCTTGTCACCATAATGAAACAACCTCCAGTAGTATGTCAACACTCGCCCGGATGAATCTTACCACAAGATGAACAAAGTGGAAACTGCTACTAACCTCCAAACGATCCAACAGCTCTACCAGACTGACCTTGACGAGAATCACACCGATCTGATCCTAGCCCCTTCCCAAAAACTCCCTGACTGGTCCACCCAAAGTACTCTCAACATCCATCGCCTGATCTACCACAACGTCGAACACTTCTTAAGACCCGGTAACCAAGTAGGAACGAATCTCTCTCCTCATACTATCCTTAAAACTCTTGCACCTCGCAAGCTCAATAGGTACAATCTCTCGAGCATACTCACTCGGACGACCAAACTCGGCCTTGTACTCATATACCAACAAATGACCCTGAACCAAGTCAAGAAATTCTTTCTTCTTCGCGTCTGTATATTGTGTACCCAGAAACTTGCGCCTAAACACCTTTAAGAAGTACATCTACGTCAGTCTATCCTCAATAGCACTCCTTCGAGTCGTGACCCACCAACGATGAGTGTCACCCTGAAGTAAGGACATAACACAACCAGCGTCTCAGCGTCGGTACAACCCATCTTATCTTAAACCCAAATAACACTCTCCAACCACTCCTCTGCCACTGTTAGCTCGGTACGACGAACATCGCTAAACTCTGTGGCTTCTAAAGCCCTCGGGCGCTCTAGAGGAAACCCTCTAGTAGTTGGAATCGACACAGAAGCAGGCACCTCAACCGGAATGGCTTGAGGCAAAGCTCTCAGAAGCGCCTTAGTTAACACATCCACATGAGGGTTCAGTGTGGAACTACTGGCAGGGGTCCATTAGCACCACTCCCAACCTCGATCACATTTTCCTCTTCCTTATTCTACGTGGGCTTAGTCCCCATCTTGTTTCTGTTTGGGATCCTCTTCGGAGGGCAAGATCCCCATGATGATTTCTCTGATGATCAAATATTGATGTTGCACTTTGATGATTAAATCTTGATATTATCGTTTGCGCATTATTGGTACTATTAGTTTGTTTATTGTAGAGGAAACAGTGGGTCTCGTAGCTCACTTTGTTTCTGTCTTTCTTTCTTTTTTTTCTTTCAAATTATCTAGTTATAGGACCAATTTAACTATCGATTATATATTATATAGGGTTTAATATTTATTTTTCAACCTTTTAAGATGTAACATGGGTTTATTTCTGATTTTGTATTCAATAAATATTTTCAAAACGACTTATTGATTATTTTCATTCGTGGGTCGTTTATGTGATCAATGTAGTCACCTTGATTCAGTGGTAACTCCTAGACTAAGTCTAAGGGGTTACATTTGGGATGTTACATGATTAGTTCGTTTTGAGCGATACTTTGGGTCAGAACACGAGAGATTCTTTTCCTGCATTTTGTTTTCCAATTTCATTTGACATTAGTTGATCTTATTTGCTTATTAAGATTAGACGATTCAAATGAATGGAGAATTTGGTATTGATTCAATGTAGAGTTCTATATCATGAAAACTCGGGGGGGAACTCATTTTCCTTGAAAATTTATATAATTCCTCCCCAACCGATAAAATGCAGTAAAAAAAAAACCTTGTTTTTCCAATAAGAAAAATGTAATCCAGTAACTTTGGAGCACATCTCCATGAAAAGAAAAAGGAGAAAGCCCAAGCAGAAAGGATACAGATTGCTTTACGCACAGATAAAATCATAGGAACCAAAATCATCTTTGAGAACCAAAAATGAAGAAAAAAGGCTGTGCCTTCAAATGATAGCGGCTATTTCCCATTTTTAAGAGATTTGCACAAACCCTAGATTGCTTTGCATTTTGATGGCAAGACCGTGTTTATAAATATAAAGCGAGTACGTATACAATGACGTCAGGCCCTCGTCAACTTCGTATTTATCTTCATAAAATATTATTAATTAACTAATTTAAATATTATATAAATGAGTAAATTATACCAATAACTACTTAATTTTTGCTCTTTTTCACTTTAACCACCAATCGTTTTGTTTTTTCAATCGGGTCAACTAACTATTTAAATATTACAATCAAGTCATCTATCATTAAATATTAACATAAGAGTTGAGGTAGTAGTTAACAAAATTGTTATAATTATACATTTAGTCCCCATTATTTAGACACTCTATCAATCTAGTCATAATTTTAAATTAATTTAATAAATATAATCCTCAATCAGATGGTGACACATATCACTATATGATTGGATGATTTTTTTCTTATTTTTATTTTATTTAGTTTAATAATTTTTTCAACCAATTAGATAATAACACATATCACATAAAATATAAATTAAGCACCCTAACCATTGGGTTGAACCATTCAATTGAAAATCGTTTCATTACATAATATATATAGAGTTAATCATAATAAAAAAAGAAAAATTCACCTAATAAGTACTCAAACATGAAATAATTTAATAATATGAAAATATAAAATATATATAAACAAATATTATAATTGATTAATAGACGAATATATTTTATTTATATTTAAAATAATATTTAATGCAAATTTTAAAATAAAAATGAAGTTAATATGTCATAATTGAAATGTTTCATTCTTCTTATTTTAAATCAATAAATTGTCCACATGATTCTATTTTTATTAAATTGGAATGTACCATTTCTTGTATTTTAAAACATTATAATGTCGATCGAATTGCATGAAACAAGTAACCTATGTGATAAAGGAATTGTTATTATTCCTTGAGGACCTAGATTTTCGAGCACCATAGATGTGTCATGGGTGTGAGCGTTCAATGTCGAAAGGTTGAGAGTTATCTATGAACAGATACTATCTTGTAGTTACCACAGATTAATCAAAAAATATAATATTGATCAAATTTTAATCTTATTTAACAACTCTATGTTAAAATAGACGAATTCAATGAAACCAAGTTTCTCCTATATCATGAACAAAATGATATTAGTGGTTAAAAGGAAGGTTATTATCCCTCTACAATATACGAGAAGTACTCTGATAAAAGATCGAGTTTGGAAGTCTTGAATCTGGCCACGAGCTCCTCGACTGACACCTAAGAACATGTACACGGAAACATATTCCATACGTTGAGCTCACAAGCTCAGTGTCACGCAAATAACCTACTATACTACATGTATCCAACATGTAAGCATGCTACTATTATGATCATTAACATTTGCATACACTACCAAAACAACAAAAGTAAGCATCATGGTGTAGCTCAGGTAACTTAGCATCACAAAACTCTCACCCCTCTTAGTTTACAAAGAACCTTAGGCGAGATCTTGGTCACATAGCATTAGCGTCTCTCTATACTTCGAGTTAGGCCCAGGTCACAAAGCATCCAAATCTTGCTCAACTAGTCTACTCCTCTAAAGTACTTGGGATGTACCCGAGTTACTTAGCATCAGTGCGACATCCAAGTAGCATTTAAGGTACACAAGCACTGGATTGAATATATCAGAATAATCCTTAATCAACTATGTCAATGTCGTACATAAGTAACTCAGGTGTCCTCAATATTTTCTCTAGCATCAAACAAGGTATAAGTCTTATGGAATCTTACCTCATAATGATCTTATATTATCACATAATTTGTTAAGGTTTCCACTTGTAAGCTTATTGGAAAGTATCCCTCACCAAACTCCTTGGTTTCATCTCTCAATCCCAGTTAGGCTTAAGCCTAAAACTTTCTGATGGTATTGATACTCTTCCTTGGGTATTCGTACTCCCCTCTTATGGTATCTATACTTCCCCGTGTATCGGTACCAAAATTGTATTCGATGCTTTGAAAACTACCTGGTATCGATACCCTATTAGAAGCATTGATACTCTACCATCGTTATCGATACTCCTGTGAGTATCGATACCAAAATTGCATTCTAGAATCTAATAAAGCCCCAATTATCGATACCACTTGAGGAGTATCAATACTCCTTGATGAGTATTGATACTCTTCTCATAACTCTTTGATTTTTTTCCTTTTATGACGAGCAGTATCGGTATTGTTCTTATAATATCAGTACTTTATGTCTAGATAACTCTATTTCTATCGTCAAAAACTTCCCAAAATACTCCTTAAGTGTTCCCGAGATCCCCAAATAGTGTTTAAAACTTATTTAGTACTTAAGGTCATACAAGGTCATCACTTTATGCATGAATAATAACAAATCTTTGTTTTCATGCTTTGAACCCCAAATGCACTCAAATACTTCATAGACTCATACAATCACCAAATCTACACATGTTGATCTACAAGCAGTAGAGAAAGGTTAGAAGTGTATTACTTTACACCTAGTAGTTATAGGAACAACCTCACGCTCACCCAAGGATCTCTTTTTCTTTTCTCTTTACCTTTGAGCTTTCTCCCACTTATCTTACTAAGCAAAAAAAACGAATGGATTACTAAACAAATTGAAGAGGGAAAGGAGAAGAAGAAGAAGAAGACAATGATGGTGGGTTTCGAATCCAACAAATAATAATACTTGCTTTTAGAAATATAAATTGTAGTAGCGATAAGCAATGTTGAATCCACAAGGAATGTGTAAACTTATTTTAATGAAAATTAAAGAAAAGAAAAGGGGATTTGAAATTGGGAAAAAGAAAAAGAAATTATAATAAACCAAAAATTTAGAGAGACTAATAACAAGCAAATATTCAACTAAAGGTGTAATTTCATAATTGGTTCAGAGAATTGATCATAGATACAATGATAAAATCTTCTATTTTTCACTGAATCGGTTATGGTTATTAACAAGCTCTAACAACTTATCTCTCCTTAGTTTCTTGATAATCAAGAGAAGCTCTTTGATTATTTCCCTTCTTAATGAACAACCCTAGACAAGCGCTTAAGATTTAATCCACCCACAGCATTAACTACTAGAGA